AATTTCAAGATGTTTTCATGACATTAGCAAGAAGTCGGACTTTTTAAAGTTATTATTAAAATACAAAAATGTCTCTCTTCTTTATATCAAATTTCGCACTGAACAATTTCAGTGAAAGTCTATTTGCTTTCAGAGCACGTAAAAAAGTACAACTTTAAAAAAAAACAGGCAAACTTGACTTCAAAATGGTGTGAATTAAGACTGAATTACCCTAGAATACAAGGAAGTTTTCTAAGGCAATAATTCACATGGAAAGGAATCATCTATAATCGAAACATTTTCAGTAATTTTTACAGAAAACAATTTATGTTTCATCTAACCTGAAGTGCTCCCAGCTTCCTCAAAATCAATATTTCCAAGGTGAAGGACACCAGCCACTACTCTAAAAAGATCAAGTTTTTCTGCATCATCCAGTCCAATCTTTTTCATTGCAGTGCACATTCTGTTAAAATCTCCGTGATCATCTAAGAGTGGATCCTTCAAGGAACCTGCTTTGAGATACTATAAAACAACAAGATAAACCAAAAATTCAGTAAGTGATTTTAAAGTAAACGTAAGTATTTCCAGTCAAGAATAAACCATAACAAAAAGTATAAAAAGCATGCCAAACTAAGCAGAAAGACATTAGAGCTCTTCATACAGTACAGGCTTTGCAAGAACCCTAATTTGTTTTAATTTCTTGATACTTCAAAGCATGATCTTTTAACTTCAGCTTCAAAGCAGACTTCGAACTATCTTCAGAAAGCAGAAGTTGGAGAGTGTGACAGCTAAGGACAGGGGAACACAGGATAGTGAGCAGTAGAAAGGAAGATTTTGGTTAAGGAAGCTATCAAAGCACTTATACCGAAGAGTGCTTCTAGCCCCCAGCAGTTGAACAGGATGACAGAAAATTTGACAGGCCATGGGAAAGAAGTACAGGACAAATCAGAATTGGAAGAGTTATCCCTATCCCAAACAGACTTATTTAGAGAAATATACTTGTTAAAGTTTGCTGGTGATTAAGAAACAGTAAAGTTGTTCGCAGTGTTCTACGGGTTAAAAGAATACCAGCTATGTTTTAAAATACCAATTTAACATTTTGCTGATTTTCCTAATTTAAATACATCAAAAGCTATTTAATTATTAATGGTTTTAAACAGTAGATAGTAACACATCTGCATGCAATCAAGAGACTAACTGAACATGCACAGACTGATCTAAGGTTTTACAATTCCTTTAAAATGTTTTCAACTAAAAAGAATAATTAACTTTAATAGATGCCTTGTTAATGTCAAATAAGCTAACATGATTTTTATCAAAACAAAACACCACATGCATCTGAAAAATTCACTTCACACAACATTTAGACACATCAATAAAATTAAACTCCATCTTAAATTATGTAAAATGATCACCTCGTCTTCCTGATAAGGAAAACACAAAAATAATTTAAGTATTAATTGACCATTCCAGCTACTTTTATTAAAATAAACAATCTTAGTATTTTTCACAAAAAGACAGAGCAAATATTACATTTCCGATTTTAAAAAAAAATGAACAATGCAATATATTTCCTGTTTAAGTGGCTAGACTAAGTTTTAATATCACTGAAATGTGATCATTTATTGCGCCTTCAAATTGACATGGCTGTAACATACAAGTATTATGGCATCACGTGTTCCACTATTTAACGTCCAATACATATTTTCAGAATTATTCTTTCAGTATGTCTTAGTTTAGACAAACACTTATTTCAAATTAAGTCCTTTAGAGGACACATTTTATGAGAGAACACCCGCCTGTAAATCACATCAGTAACAGAAGATTGCATAGGTTCATCTTCCAGTAATAAGAATAAATTACCAACTTCACTACAAGTCTTAATTTAAGGCAAATTAGGTAAATCGAGGCAAAATCTCCCAATCATCTCTTAGCCTATATGCTTGACAAGAACTAAGTATCCACCAGCCTCACAGTAATATCAAATCAGCATTTCTGTATCTCACTCTCCACCATCCCCGATTATAGAAAATAGCCTAGATTCAAGCAAAAGAAATTGGCGTTACGTGCTCAGTGTTACAACATACAAACACTAGAAATCCAGGAAGAGACTCTACAATGTTGACCTGAGCAAAGGAATTATCTGTACTGTCTTTCGTAGCTAGGCATGAGCTACGTACAAGCTCAAGCCCAAGTTGTCAAAGGTAAAAGAGGTGGCACGGTCATGGGGGGAGAGAAGCTCTGAGTAAACTTATCTTTGTATTATTCCACACGTATATGCAGCTTGCCCTGCTACTGAATCTCAAGTATGGATTTGATTAAAATTTGAAATATCTTCGAGCTATACAAATGAAAAATTCATACTTTAGGTATGAATAGATGAAAATCATATTAGAGAGCAGAGTGGAAGTTTAATGAAGTGTTTAAACAACTTCCAATTCACATATACTATTAATTTGGATTAAATTCTTTAGTGTCCTCATGTGAACAAGATCAAAAGCTTAAATGCTACAAATTCTGGTAATTCCAGTTTTAAAAAACGTAAACAGAGATGGAACAAGAGGAAAGAAGTGTTCTGAAGTTTCACACTTTCTTCCAGGAAATGCCATGCTCTGCTGTAAGTAACAGTTCATAGCAAGGGGACAACAAAAAACAATAAAGAACGCAGTGTACTGGCGAGGGGGATATACTCGTGCTGGAAGTGAGGCTGTACTTATGTTTTATAAAACAGTTTGGAGCATCATCCAAAAACCCAGACAATAAAAATGGCTCTGGAAAAAAACTACTGCTTCTGACCTATTCCTAGCAGTAGTAAGATTTAAAAAGAAAATTACAAAAAGTCTCGGATAGATTTTTGTTTTCCACCAAAGACAAGCTGCATCATTAAGTGTTATATTATTATAAGAATGAAAAGGAAGCAATTTTATATACTGTTCCATTTGGGATTTCAAGATGCATGTTAAAATGTATTTCTAGGACTGAACTCCAAAAGCAGAGTTCCGAATATACCAGCTTTGACAGTACCCATTTAGACCTACAAAGGTGTGTAAAATGAACATTTCATTCCACACTGTAAAACTGTATTCATCATTTTCAACTCTATCTGCATTAGTTAATAATATAAACTAACTGAAGAGACAAACATACCTCAGGACTCTTGCGATTTTGCAAAATCTGCTTGTCTGTTTCTTTGTTAGCAAAGTATCTGGTACAGCCTCGATTTAAATACTGTAACAATAAAAAAGTAGAAATGCATACTTAGACAGAAGTAAGGAAAACATGCTTTCATTTAAGGCTTGCTCTACATAGCTTGATTTAATCATATGATACCAACAACATGCTAGGTATTCAGAATTCATTCCTTGAAAATGTATTTATTTACATCTACAAAATTACAGAAGTGCAACAGTAACAAACTTCCATTGAAAGCTTTTTCATTTTGACAAGTAAAATACTTTTTGACACAGTGGGATATTCATTTTGTTTGTTAAGTCCCACAATCTTTTCTTAATGTTTGACTCTACTAAACCTACTAATGGAGTCTAAGATTACAGAAAAGACAATCAAAATTAGGAACCAAGAAAATAAAGTTTCTGGCCTATGTATAATACCAAACTTCACTCCAGCAAGCTGTATAGAAGATCAGAAAAAATTCACAATAATCTTTATGTTTTCAGCAACATATAGGCTTTATATAGTATATCCGTGGGTGAGAGGGGTAGGATCAAAGAATTTCTGGTACTAAGTCCAGAGTAGTTTTATGGTCTTTTTCTCCTCACCAGTGAAATATTTCTATAGGTAGTAAGAGACATAGCATATTAAAAAGCTTGAAGAGTATTAAAAGCTTATAATACGGTACAAACAGAAGCCTAATTCAGAACCTGGCTTCTGACATCCATCTCATATTGTATAGTAAAGGGAATAGACCAGGCATTCAGACAATGACTGACTGACCCTTCCAGCAAAATGGGATCGCCAGCTTTTTCTTTCTGATCTGTTCAGCTGAAAGTAAGAACTCTGTCCAAAAGCTTGGACAGAGCCCTTTGTCTAAAGGAAGTGAACTGGTTCTTTGCTCTAGCCCATGAACAAAGAAGATGTTTTCAACTAGGTGAACACAGATAATCCTACACTTTGATTAAAATTTATATACAAAATTCTAAAAAATAAAATATTCTTCAAAGCATTTCTAACAGTAGAAGAAACATAGGTGACAAATTTAATACTAAAACAAAGTGTTGAGAAACTGTTGGAAGTTAGCTTGGTGTTTAAAGAAAACTTTTCAATATTTTGTTATCAGCCAGTAAGAATGCAAAGCACAGCAAATTTTAAACACAACAATATATCCCTGTATTACAGTATTAGTAACACGATCCCAGAAACTGGGGACGGGAAGTGAAAAAGGTCGTACTTTTCAAGAAGAGAGTGTGGAAACTTATCTGACAGGCTGAGAATGTGAACCAGCAGGGTATTCAATAACCACCTACGTAGGACACATTTAATCACAAGATAATGGCTTTCATTCGAAAGCTAAAAACTCAAGTAAATTTACATATTAAACCTAGGAGAAATTATATTTTAAAGCACACAAATACACAGCTTAAGTTTATCACATATAACATCTAAATACCACTTTTTTTTTTTTTTTTTACTCTGAAGTACAACACCCCATTATAACATCAGTGACCCAAACATAAGACAATCTGATTTCTCTTCTGGAAATTAAGATATGAAAAAAATTCAGCTTCTCATCTCCACCAACTATATTCCAGGTACAGATCTACTGTGCAGCTTTACTGTCAAAGCCATGTGGTGCAGTCCAAGGCACCTGGACTTACAAGGTTCAGCACAGGGTTACCTAATGACTTTGAATTTCTGAAATTTGAATTTCTGCAGGGGAACCTAAAACACGAACACCCAGGACTGCACGCTTTTGTGTGGGTGTCCTTGGAGGAGGGGTGTGTAAGAAACCTGCAACTTTTTATAGTCCTTTGCCAAGTAAATTCACGCTTCCCCCAGAGGACTGCAGGGAAGGATGAACTAACAGAGAGGTAATCCCCATCGGTGCTGCTGAAATCCAGACGACAGGTCAGGCAGGTGCAGCCAGTGCGGTTGTCTTGGTTCACACGCCAGAGCGTGGCCAAATGCACGGGGAGGAGATTATGAGGGATCACTTAAGTCAAAGGGAAGGAAGAAGATGACCGGGGGGAAGAAGAGCATTAAGTTATCCTTTGCCTTTTAATATCGTTTCACTTCCGTGAAAAATGAGAATTACCTTAGATTTGAAATGGTCCTATTTTCAAGTGAGTGTAGTTAAGAGAAACCAGGCATTGAGCAAAACGTGCTTGAGTGTCAGGACCCAAGCTGGCCATAATTTGGACTTTGACTTGTTATCTTGTGCTAAAAGGCACAAGACAAGTAGCACAATAGAGCCAATGCAAAACTGCAACTTTAGGGATGGGTTTTTCTAAATAACCAATTTAACAGTATGATTCTTTTCTGAATGTTTTTCTTGCCTAAAAAATTAGCATTAATATCAAAACACTGATCAATCATCAAACCTTGCCTAGTATAATACCATCATCTATTATCAGAAGCCTGAAAGATGGTATTTCCGTGACATTTGAACCAAATAGACATGCAATCACCAAAAACTGTGGTAAAAAAGTGACACAAGCATGATTATTCAGAGCCATTTTATGATAAAACCGGAAGCAACAAATGAGAATGAGTAACACAGAAAAAATAATCTTGACAAAAGTAATACAAATTTGGGAAGAAAATCAACCTTTTAGAGATTTTTTTTTTTCTAAAAATCTCCTATAAAGTGATACTTCATAAAAGTTTAGTGCAATATGACTAATAAACTTTAAGTATGTTTATATTAATTTATGTACATACAAAGATGAAAATGATAATTAAAAATGTTTTTTTTAATTAAAGATGATCTACTTTAACTTCAGAAGAGGAAAAATTTTTTAAAATATTTCAGAAGTGTTAAAATTCTTAAATTTAACATGCAGAGTGGATCTTTCACATCAGGAAGAAACTCAGGATTCGAATACTAACTTACGGTAAAGCAATAAATATTCTTAATGGAAATGAAAGTACCTGCTGCAAACTTAGTAGAAGTCAAAAAAAAATACGTCACAGTGTGGTAAGGCTGGTGTGACTGTAAACTCTTTATAATTGAAACAGGCAAGTGAGTGCCTTCTGTAAAGGCACTCAGGCTGTTCAGTACTGTACTGCAGCAGTCTGATTTTAAGCAGGTTATAATTCCAACCTTGACATCTACAACCTTGTGTGGTCTCATGAGCAGAGTTTTTGATTTAAAAAAAAAAATCCCTAAGAGTGGGCATGCAGCATAATCAGTTCCATAATTAAAAATCCATTAACTACAAGAAATAAGTTTTAATGGAAAAGTGGCTGCACAATAAAAATATATATTTGAAAATTTGTTCAAGATTTTAAAGCAGACAAGAGAATATTGCATAAAATAGCTGCACAGCGAAGAAGAAAGTTTTGAATACTAGCTCCATATTATATGAAAATAAATGGTGTTGGGTTTTTTTCTAAGTATGGTGTTTGTTGGGTGTTTCAAAAGAAAAGCTTTCTTTCTAGAGAACAGAAGCAGTTCCTTCTTAATAAGCATCAGATCAAGTTTCCATGGCACAACTGAATACAAATAGGTGAACTATAAGAAGATACAAACTAAATATTTAAAGAAATAATGTAAGGTCTATAAAGGCCCCTAGGAACGCCTTCGAGGAAGTAAGGAAACTTGTCCTAAAATACTGCCATGGCTTTTAGGGAGCAAGATCATCTAGATACCACAGTACAAATGCATGATGTGCACAACATGGAACTGCAGCTCTGTGCCCACTTCCTGGCTCATCAGTAAGCAGAGACTGACTTGGCCAAGCCAAGAGGCAGCAAGCAGCAACCTGTTCGGTCACCAGTGTACACCTGCCTTCCCTACAATGAGCGCACTAATTTAGGTGTCACCTATGCAACCACTGCTTTGCACAAAACTAGTAGGAGCTTTGTATCTTTAAGGCTTCTAGCCACCTGCTGAATTCTGATGAAGCTGAGTACAAAAGATTTTGGAGAAAGTAACAGGTAAGCACAGTCCAAGTTTTATTTAGAAAACCAAGTAGGAAGACACACCAACAAAGAAAACAATCAACACAGTAATCTAATTCTTGGTTAGCAGTGCTCCTCACCCTGTTTCAGATCAAGGAAGTCTAAAAAGATGGCAGTCAATTAATTTATATCCTTGTAATTGCACACGCTCTCCAGGGTTGTGTTACAAAACCCTTCCAAACCCACGGCAGGGATTTGGTCTGTGTATTTTAGAAATACGCAGAATTCTGCTTCCATGAGATTCCAAGCCAGGCATAAGCCAAGAGACAGTGGAGAGATGGAGACAAATGACAGAACACAAACAACTGACCAGTATTTACCAGTAGGATCTGATTTGCCAATATTTTTCTTTTCAATGCAAGTCAACAAAGCACATGGTGATATTTGTAGATATTTACAGTTCAAGTGTGCTTGTCAAAAGCAAAAGAAAAACAAAACAAAACCCTATCAACACATTTATATGCAAAAAAATTGAAGGCAAAAGTCTTCACCTTACTAGTGAAATTGGTGATGACAGTATAAGATGTGAATAGGCTTAGAAGGACCTTGAAAGGGGCAGCAAAAGCTTGCTTTGAAGAGAAGGAGAAGGAACAATCAGGAAGACAATGAGAAACAGCTGTATCAGTAAAGCTGCACTGGTTGGATAAGAGTTCAATAATATTTGGTTCTCAACAAAAAAATTACTGCAATAATCGAGATTTAACACACTGAGAAATTAAAAGAGAATTTAAAAATAAGGGAAACTGGGTTGGAGTCACTCAGGCAAACAAAACAAAATAAAGACAAAATTTGACAGACAAGAAAAGAAAGCAAACAAAAGGAAACGTCATGTTATTTGTCGATCATTTCTGAAAACAATTCAGTGAAATCTGAACATAGCAAAGGGGAGGAGAAAGAAAGAAAGCTGGAGGAAAAAGTTAAAAGTTAAACTGAAGTAGTAAAACTGTTCAGTGGAAAAATGGGAGGAAAAGAATGCAAGAACATAATGGTAGGACAGAAAGCCAGCCTGTTTGCGGGATTGCTAGAAACATAACACAGAATCAGGGTTAATCAGGAGAAACCACATAGTCTCAGAAAAGGACAAAAACCCTAAAAATAAAGCATGGGGAGAAGAAGGGAAGGCAGTAAGCAAATCAGAAGTCATAAGAACAGGCACACTGGATTGAATTAAAAGGTCCATACTATCCAAGAGCTTGTCTTCAACGGTGACCTGTGCTTCACCCACGGATTTTACTGTTCCTTTCTGAGTTGGGATGACAAAACTGTGTACGCTGTTTACAAATATGGATGTACATTGCAGCATAACTCACTATTTCATTCTCGCTTCCCTTCCTAACAACTCTAAAATTCTACTCTGCTTTTTCCCTGCCGCTGAACATTAACCTAACATTTTTAAAGAAGTATGCACAATGATTCAAGTCTTACTTCCCTGCTGTTTATTTTAAGTTCACTTTCATTTAGGTATAGTCAGGAGTATTACATTCAGCACTGATTTTACTGGCTTCTCCATTACTTGACTGACTGGACCAGTAACAGGTTGCGGAAAGATAGCCAAAACTCAGAAATAGCAAGTAGTCCTTACGAAAAAATAAATTAGGTGAAGAAAAACCTAGGAGGGAGGGTCATGCTTAATGAATAGAAGTAATCTTGGCAGGAAGAGCTGAGCATGGGCTTTGGGTCAATTGGAGATAAAAGGATGAGCTTTCAGCTGAAAGGGACTGGTAAGTCTTATCACGTAACCTGGAGTGACCAAGAATGACAGAGGAGTATGATGAGAGGAACGGGAAAGCCTCGAAAGGAAAGGAGCAGTACAAATGAGTATAGTATGATAGGAATAGGAACAAAGTGCAACAGAGTAGAAAAGACAAGTGATGTGAAAGCATATGGACTGGAACAGAGAAGCACAACCACCTTGTTATTGTGATCTGATCCTTGGTGGGAAACGTAAGGGAAGAATAATTTAAGAGTGAGAATCGTGGGACAACTCCTATGTCTTCCTAAACACATGGCTGGAATAGGAAGAAATAAATGCAGTTTTCAGGACTTAAAAGATGGGTTACCCACACAACAGTTAGACCACAATCAAGAAATTCACACTTTACACCTCTAGAAGAGCCCATAACAACATTACTAGCAGCTGGGTATGCAACAGTACATTTTTGGAAAAACCAAGGATTCCGCACTTTTAAGACATAGAGAAAAAGTACAGGAAATCTTCCAATAAGGAAAAATGGCAGGCAGCTTTACTTCAGGACCAAATAGATTTAACAGAAAAAACTTCTGATTTTTGTAACAGGAAAGAGTCTGTCAAAGATAATAAACAGAGATTCTAATAAGATCTGTATGAAAAATCCATGTATGGCAATACGAGAAGCTTTAAAAACACCGATTCTGATACTCACCCTAAAGTTGTCAGGAGAGCTTAGATATAGTTTTTCCCTAATGTCTTCTGGAGCACCAGCACAAAGCCTGTAAAAGATATGGTAATTCCTCTCTTCTTTGCCTTGCACACAGATCCTAGATTTCTCCAGAAGGTAATGTGATACAAATCCACCAACCACCGAATTCTAGGAGGAAGAAATATTTTTCTGATTATCTCAATATTTCTTGGATTATTTGAGATTTAGAAGTTTTCAATTTACATTTGTCTGATCACGGCTTGCTCAACAGACGCTCCAAGAAGATTAAAATATACCTATGCTTAATACATATTAAGCTTAGAAAAGAAACCTTTACCATAACTTCTCCCCTCGGCTCATGTATTGCATATACATACATTCCTCTTAAAAGAAGGGTCTGCTTCACCCCAACAAGTAGAAATCCTTGGCAGAATTCCAGTAGTTCCTGCAAAGCGCATTGCTACAGCCACCCTTACACTTTTTGGATGGCAGTAAGTGCCATTACCGTGCTATTACAACCTTCTCTAGTTGCATTTCACTAAGAGTCTTGCAAAGGAGAAGGAAGGGTTAAAATTAAAGAATACATATTTGGACAACATCTTAGGCAGACTAATTATGAGCTAACATTTTATTTCAAACACTTGCACTTCTTTTCTGAGATGGAAGTCTGACCCAGATTTCGAAAGCCATTTGTTATCTGGACTACGATAAAATTCCCTGTGCCTAGACAAATCTTAATAGCAAGGAAATTCCTGAGCTTATAGCCATTACAGCAACTAAGAAGGACTTACTGACTGACAAATTTGACTATGGTTATGCAGTCATTCATTCATTCAGGAGGCCCCAGGCTGTACTTATATTCCTTTGAGAAATCAGATCTAATAAGGTCACCACGAAGTGAAGTCTTGTGAAGTATGAAGTCTGGCAAAAAAGGGGCTCAAGTAAACAAGCTGATCTTGCCCTGGAAAGCTGAAACAGGCTTTTAAGCAGTTTCTGAAGATATTGTGAGCGCTATTTGTTTCAGCTGAAGCAATTAATCTGAAACACCATGTAAGTGCTGACAGATAAGTTGACAGGTCATGAACGCATCATTCCAAGTAGAAATTTGGGTCCTTTCAGTAAGTTTATTAACATGAACTGGACCAACAGATAAAGCCCCTCTACCCTTACAGAAATTTAGTTATTTACTATCTAAACTATTAACCAAAGATCTGAAGTTTAGTTACAAAACCAAGGGATGAAAACTTAGCAAAAGACCACAAGCTCAAGACCAGATGATAAGCTTAAACTCTGCAGGAAAAGAAACAAATTCTTGCGATTCCTACGTCCTCAATCAGAAAGATGAGGAGGCACGGACATAACCTCTACAGCGGTCGTCGACGAAAGTCTTCAACGTGGACATGCTGGACAGCTATACAGTCATCCTTAATTGTGGAATGTGTGTGTACATACGCTATCCAAGCAAAACTACACCCAAAGAAAATTTTTCATAACCTACACAGTGAATAGTACTTCTGACAAAAAACAATTCCATGACTTGTCACATACATAATACTAATGCGAGGTCCCAAAATTTCATACAAATACATAAGAACATCAATAATTCATTTAAAGTATTAAAGCATTAAAACATGTTTATATCTGTTTATATGTAATATGCAACTCACACTTACTTGTGCATTAAAGGAATGCATAAATAGTTAACAGCAAGTAAGTTATCCTTTAGATATGCCTTTGTGCAATGAAGGGAACAATTTTTATTCTGTTGTGGATGGAAGCAATTTTCCTACTGACTTGACCCACCATTTTCCAGTAGTGACACAGTACTGTGTGGCTTTGGTTTTCCTTTCAAGGTGATAGAACACAAATTGTATCTGTAAAGCAGGATAGTAGCTACTTGGTGCAAGATAAGTAAGTCTATTCAGCCTACTTCCAGTCTAGCATTACCATTTTATGGAAAAAAAAAAAAAAAAAACCAACAACAAACCATCACTGGTTATCTGTATCAAAATTCCAGTACCTTTTCATTGAAGTGAATTTCTACAAATTTCCCAAAACGACTGCTGTTGTTGTTGCGAACAGTCTTTGCATTTCCAAAGGCTTCTAATAGGGGATTTGCTGTTCAAAAAATTAAAATTTTTAAAGTGTTAAAATTTGATCAATAAACTACCAGAAAGAACAAGAGAACAAATACATACTAATTATTCAGTGAACTTATTGGGAATAAGGTTTGAAAATTAAAGGAAATGTATTGCCTACTACGAATAATCAATTTTGCAAATTGTACTGGATATACTGTGGTGGAACTTACAATGAAGTATTAAATATCATATAACATTGCAAAGTATTTGAATAGATACTGCAAGAAATTCAAAGACAAACCGAAAATTATTCAGTGATGTTCTACAGCAAGTGGGTAAATAACTGATACATAAACTATACAAGACAACACACAAATCTGACACTTCCAAATGAGCTGTTACTCATAAAATCTGAACTACCCACTTATCCCACAGATGAAAGTGCCACTTAAATGTCACGCATGCAACATGCTAGATTGATTAGGAAATTAAAAAAACATATTAGAAGAGTGTGTTGATTTCAAAAACAACTTTAAAATGCCCTGTGAAATTAGGTCAATTAAGTAATTGAGTGATTTTATTTTTTACTGGCTGCAGTTTTCAAGCGCCTCAAAGCCCATACAGAAAGAGTGGCAGCAATCTAAAGCATATATATTTTTTTTTTTTTTATATGTAGCTATCTACATGACACGCAGTTTAAGCGTTTTGAAAATGCTCAGCAGTTATGAAACACAAGGCCTCTGAAAGACTGCATTTACTAGCTCTGAAGATCAAAGAAAACCGATTTACTGAATCGCGCTAACAATAAACCACTGAAAATATCTGCAAGATTTTATAAAGCTTTTTAGCCTTGGAAACTAAGTGAGCAGAAACTCAGATTTAAAACTCCACTGACAACCATCTACAAATCTGCTCCTACAAAAATTAAAAAATGAAGGAAAAACTACAGTGGTTGGATAAATTACAGATGATAAGGCATCATTTAGTAGGACATCATCAGCATTAACTTTTTTGTTTTGGCTAGGTTTTAATTTTTTTAATACTTAAAGATACGAAAATGAAAATCTGACTTTCAAAACTGACTTCTTAAGAGATCTTTGATAACTATTCAGGTATTTTACATAAAATTAACAGTTTTGAAGAAAAGATTATGAATAAAAACAAATTGCAAGAGGTCTTTCAGATAGGTTAAAGGTTCCTCTAGTAATACACATGCTGTAAGCATGCTCATTAAAATTGTGTCTAAAAAACTTCAAAATTCACACATCAGATGCTGTTTTAGATTAAAAACCCCAAGCTTTTCTAAGAATACCTACAAGTACCAATTAATTTTATGGTATACTGCGTCAGGCATTATCCAACTCTTGGCCACTTTCTGAGCTCCTTTAGCACACAGCGGATTTCACTACGGAATTGGTTTAAGCAAACCTACAGCAACAAGAGATTAAAGCCTGCAGTAGTTCTCTTGAATAATGCAGTGGCTTGAGTTTGAAAACAGAAAATTTAAAGCAAAAGAAAAAATAAAAGTTTTTAGTTTAAGAAAAAGATAGAGTAATGAAAATCTGAAATAAATCTTCTATAGGCTACAGAAGACTAAAACTGACATATGAGGCATTGTTAGACTCGCTGAGGGTTGTTTGTTTTTGAGATATTTATATTTTCTCAAAAAGTTATTTTCTGTTCAATTAGGAAGTGCATGCAACATTAAAAGAGGCTCAACTGGATGACCAACACAGTCTCTTCTGACCTTGTTTGGGAGTTTATAATAAAGATTGACACAGTCTCTTCTGACCTTTTTGGGGAGTCTATTATAAAGATAGACACAATTCATTGTGTGCTTTCTGACAAAAAAGACGTAACAGAAAAATGACCCAGAACCATAATTTAAGAGAACTTCCCTGCTTTATCTGACTTTGAGAACTTTATGGTGAGGAAGAAGAATTACTCTTTCCTGGTACTAACTGATAGTAATGAGAACATAATCTTGTCCTTGCAGATTTCATACAGCATAAAATCCAATCTTGGATACACATGTGTGTGAAGTTCAACTCACACACACAAACATTTTCTAAATCAAGGACTATATGACACTATACTAAATAAAAATGAAGTGAATCACAAATTAAAAAAAATATGTTTTCAGAATTTAGGATCAAGGTAAACGATCAGTAAATGATGCCCTAGGAAGTCTGATAGTATTTCCATCCTAGCTTTTATATATTTACTGTTGATTGACATTTCAAATTTGAAAAAAAAAAAAACTAACAAAACTCCAAAACATTGGAACCTTTAATTCAATTAAAGAAAATTCAATACCTTCTACAATTCTATCATCAATATCTTGGCCAGTACCATAGGATTCTGTCAAATACCTGTAAAGCAAGATAAAATTATCGGTATCTTTCATGTGTCATGTTACCTCAATTCAACAGGATTTAGCATGTCTGTGCACCATACTTACCAACCATTTACTAAAGGGAAAGCATATCGATTACAAGTTTGAAATACCTATATCTTTTTAAATAAATGCAGTTTGACTTTTTCTTTTTGTTAAAAATATTCTTGCAGACTTCAGATTTTCTTCAATACTTCAAGACATGCTAGAAATTTCTTCTAGACATGCGTATGGAAATCACACTTTTATACAAATATAATGAAACTATTACTGTACTATCAGCATTTATTAATAATCTTAGTAAACACATAAGGTTTCATATGTATTTCCTGAATTAAAGACTGTTTCCATGCATACAGCTTCTGTGTTCATAACTATCAGTATTAATAAAAATCCCACATGGAGACGATGACATAGGAAATTGCAGGTGCATAAAGGTAAGATTCAATTTAGCAACTGAAGAAAGAATTTGAAAATAAATCCACAACGTACTTGCTCCAAAGTTGCAGCTTTCTTTCTCTTTTTTTTTTTCCTGCGCACAGGGCATGCTTTCTGGAAATTCACAAGTAAATCTGGGACGAGTTAAAAACAGCTCTCAAAAATGGGGACTTCCAAAAAAAATTCAGGAGCACTAACAGAGCTTTATTAGTACCTTTTGCTTTCTGATCACACAAGGGAAAAACCTTCCTGTTTTTAAAACTCAATGATGTTTTGTACAGGGACTTTATGGAGGCGGGTGGTAGGGAGAAGCAGCAGCAGTGATATTTGCCTGCTGTGTAATCAGAACTTCCTTTGCCGAGAAGCAGAAGAATAACCTCCTTTAAGAACATCCCTCAAGAGATGTTCTCCCAGTGCCTGCCATCTTTTTTTACTTTTAGCAGGATCAAAGTTAGGATGTCCCCTGTAAAAATCATTACCAGCACCTTGCAGTAATTCTTACAGCTATCTGTTAAAGGTTGCATAGGGGCAGAGAAGAGCAGTATGAAGGACAGACAGCCGTGACAATTCTTCATGGGATGTGGAAGATAATACTGCTACTGTACATATGTACTAGAGAATACATGATTTTCAGGGAAAAGGGAACTAAAGATTTATACTGGGAAACAAGGACAAGGCGGGGAAGGGAGCGTATTCACACTGCCTGCGATATGCTTCCCTGAATAATCAGGCCACCTACGATACAGGTGAACTTAACGGAGCAGTGCTTTCCAGTTACAGTGTTCCAGAGTGATAGAAAGCAGTTAAAGTATAAAGCAAATATGGTCAAACACATTAATATCATATAAGAGGAAGGAAGGCTGATATATGTCAGCAACATGGCCTCCATATAGTTTAATATGCTTGATTTAGTATCGGTCATACATGAACATCAATAAATAAATAAATCCCATTATTCAATCTTATTCAGTAAATTAGGGTAAAGTATATTACAGAATCTCTGCAGCGATCTCAAAATCAAGAGTTAAAAACCCTGGATGCTTAAGCAAACTAAAGAAACAAAGGGAAAACACAGAAATGCACATTTATGGCAAAACCAACAGTGTCTTGCAAGATACAGTTCAAATGCCTAGTTACATTTTTATCTACCACAATACCAGATGTGCAATACCAAAATGACTGCATCACAAACCATAATTACTACATGACGTCACTACAACTGAGTTAAGGTTTCTGTGAACATACAGCCATTTCCTTATGTTATCATGTCAGCATTTAAGTTTAACCCTATGAATTTCTTGTATTAAAGCATATATAAAAGTATCTTACTGAATTGTGGCTTAAACCTACTGATTACTTTACAATTTGCTCTGTCTGTATGTCAACCAAATGCATGAACACAAGAAATTCAATTATTAACTTTGGTCCAAAAGCACAAACCTCAAAACAAATTTAGTGTTTTCTGTCTTGCCAGCTCCCGATTCTCCAGAGACTATGATGGACTGACTCATCTTGAGCACTTTCATGTCACGGAACGCTTTATCAGCTTAAAAAGAAGAATACGTTAAACACGACAAAAAATAATATTCAGGAGAGTTGCAAGCATAAAGTTAAGCTACAATACAAAAATTAAAATGTAACATTTTCAGGAATAACAAAGTAAATCTTTACAATTGAGTGCATTACAACTTATTAAAGTCTGTTTCCCTTTAAATTACATTGTAGTTGCTCACCCTCAAACACTGACATGTAAGAGCTTAAAGTCTTTGAAAACAAAAACCTACTCAACTATATCCAGGACAAAATAAAACAAAAACCACCACCTAGAACTAAATCTCTTGAATTAAATGTATTTACAGAATTGTAAGCAATCTTACTTTAATGTGTCCTTTAAAGGGAAACTTTTGTAACAAGTAACATCTGAGAAAAGGAAACTTGGAAAAACATGGGTAGTTTTCTTGTTATGCAACAGGTACTAAAAACCCAGCTATTTATACTTTTGATTACAAAATGCAACATGGTGAGAAGGCTTTTAACAAGTCAAATGTTGATTTGTAGTTTCCAAATTATTTTTTCTTAAACAAAGTCACTGACATCAGGTTATCCCATTAATAACATTTAAATGCACTTTCTGCCTATAACACAAGCATATATATAAAAAGAAACAGCGCATGTACTCTGGCAACATACTAAAAGGCAAAGGAAACCACTACACTGAAAGACAGTGCCAATCATAATTATGTCATTCTTCATTTCTAAAATCCGAATTTCTTTTTTTTCTTTTTTTTTAAAATGGTTGTAAATTATATTTAAACTCTTTAGACATAAAACACTGGAGGTACAGAGTAATAACAACAGGGTTGCTAACTTCCAAGTTCTTCAAACTGCATATCAAGGACGAGAAGATTTGCAATTTTAGCAAACAGTGGTTTTATTTTATAACAGTTTAAAGTAAATTAATTACTGTTACAGGTGGCAATTTATGGATAACTGCGAAGTATTTAATGTTTGTTTTGTAAAAGACAAATACAGGCTCAATACATACCAATAGCAAAAACATGTGGTGGCAATGTTCCAAGTGATCTACCCTGGTACTTTTTAATAGTATCTGAAGAATAAAACTTAGGTATATCAAAATATGGATTCACTGCAATAAGAATGTTGGCTACATAGGTCTGTGAAGAAAACAATTAACAGCAAACTATTAGCTAGTATCCAACCAAGTGGTTAACAGCAATTTTCTATTACTATTGAAGACTATAGCCTAAGTATAACAATTACATTTACAATTCTCTCCAGCTAACGCAGATACAAGAACAGATACATTTTCAGAGTTCCTCTAATTATCTTCTCAGGACTTCTGTGAAAAAGCACTTCTCGGGAGAATTTCCTAACCACTGAGCTGTGGAGTATGTCCTGAATTTGACCTTTCTCCCAATCTCCTTTTAAATTATTTCCTATTGTCCAAGTTACTGGATCAAGGATAGGACAACAACCACCTCCTCCTCAAAAGTGAATAAACTAGGCTCCTGGCTAGCATAAGGCACTCTCCTCCAGTGAGGAGGATAATTTTTCAGTATCTAATGGAAGCAACTAGGACTGACAGGATCCTGTCTGGGAACGCGCTCAAGCCAGGCAATAAAAGCATTCAGCCGAGAGAAATTAGCTATGGCTGCTTCCACAGTGAGAAATACAGAATGCAAATGTTCTCTAGTAGAGAAGGAATTCGAGAAGAATTTCAAACCAAGACTGCTTTTTACTTTTCCATAGGATAAGGAAGACTGAAGCTAAGCTTTTTAAGGTTTCTGAAAAAAAGAAACTTTCATAGCTTGGTTATAATGGCCACATTATATACAAGGAAGAACAGGGGTATGAATCACAGAAAAAAGCAGATTTGCAGGAAAAGGTCTGAAGAAAAATCAGATAAACCTTCAGCTTGAATAACTTATTTGATTTGTTGTTACTGAGCATATCCCTAGACAACTGACATATGGACACTATCGTGATATGTTGATAGAAGGCTGGATCACACACAATATATGAATTTTCTTAGATGTTTCTATTTTCAGCACTTATTTCACTGAAGGAAAACATATGCACAGAGCTCAAGAGCTGCAAGTACTAACATTAGTTTTCCTTCTAGTAACAAGGCAAATACTGGTAACCAGCATTAAACAAAAAGCAAAAACAATTGTTGATTAAAACTGTATCTTAAAGTTACAAGGGAAAAGTAGCTAAAATAGAAATTGAACCTTGGTTGATTTTTGTTTGTTTGTTTGTTTTTCCTCCAGAAAATACACCTTCTCAGGACAACACAGTAGTATTTGTTTACAATGAAGAAAGGCTTTATGAACCTAAATACTCTCCTACCTCATAACCAGTTCAGTTTTAGAATTTTACTTCCTGGGGGGGGGTTGGTTATTTTTTTAATTATTATTATTGGCCATTCAAATGGCCAATTTTATTTATTTATTTTAAAGCTGGTGCTTGAACTTAAGCCATAAAGAATTTATAGCTATGTAAAGTTAACTGCAACAAAGGAAAACAACTATACTTTCTTTTTATATTTATATAAAAGGGTTTAACTAATTCAATACATTTTAGAACAGTACTCTAAAACAAAAGTTGTTATTTTAAACACAGACACTTAGAAAATATGTAGAACTGCTTTGTATTATCACTAGCCAGCTTTCTATTAGAAAAAAATAAAAAGAAAGAAAACTCTTATCTTTCTTCTGTTTCACAGCTGTCAGTGTCCGGGCAGATGGCAAGGACAAAATGTAATTTAGTCAGAATTCATTAAGTACAATTAGGCAATTTGATAGCAATATAAAAGTTTAAGATGGACATCTGAGCTAGGAGGTGTCAAAGACGGCACCTGTTTGCTTCGTTCAAAAATAATGAAGAAAGAAAACCATCTTTGTTAACAGCTACTCTATGGGCGAAGTAAGTTACCTGCAGGAACAGACCTTTGTGATACAATGTTGTGCTATGGTTGCACACGAACAGTCATGTAGAGAAAAATCCATTGCTCTGCCTTGTAAAAATCAGCTAACATTAATGTGATTAACGTGATTCAGATCTCAAACCAGGTATAATGTAAAAGAAAAAAAAGAAAAAGAAAAAGAAAAAAGGCCTAAAACCTCCTAACCTTCCAATGTTAACATTTCTGTTTAGTTTCTGTTATGGGAAAAAACAGAATTGGAAACACTTGCTTTGTTGATTTTTTGGAAAGGACATCTATCATTAGACTGGTTGTCATGACACGTAATACTTACATAAATTCTGTCCTTACTGTACCGAACTTTGATATTGTGAAGGAGAGTGGCCTCATTTAAATACATAAGGGAACCTGCAATTAAAAGACAATCATATACCATTAAGAGCTCAGGAATACCTTCGTGTACAGACGAAAAACTAAATCTTAGGATTAAGGAGAATTTTACTTCCCTTCTCTTTGGTTACAGTTTTAGACCTGCTCTTTGCTGTACAACTGGAGCTACAGAAAGTTGCTGAACAAAGAGTCAGACTCCAAGAGTCTCAACACAGGCCCTGCTCGGCGTCAGCTCCCTTCTACCAGCCTTTCAGACGAACACGGTGCGTCCCCCCCCACGCCAGCCCGTAAGCGCAGAAACGGGTGCCTACCACAATCCCTAACACCGACTGTTTCCTTCCTTCCAGCTCCCTCTCCGATCTTGGCCACAGTGTCCCTGGGGTAATGCCACCTAACTGACATTTAGAATAACTGCTGGCTCCTGATGATTTTTAGATGTTTATATTCACCGATTCAATCGGGAGATACTGTCTAGAGGCGGCAGCAAGGCATCATTGCAACACCAGGCACCCACGCAACCTTCCGTGCTTCAATTCTGAATTTTGTTGCTACTAGGCCTCCTCAAAGAAATTTTTGGGGGGGGGGGGGGAAGTTAACACAACAAAACCTAGCTTTATTTTTCTCCTTTAATATAAAAAAAACAAACCAACTCTGCTGAAATGTTACACGGCAGTGGCTCAAGGCAGCGAGCAGGCATCCACAGAAAGCTTCAGACCATACGGGTTCACATTCTGGCAAAGCTAGTCCTTGCTTTCAGCTATAAAGCACTGGAAAGCGTTAGTAGCCTTAATTATAGAGGTCATTACCAGTTCCCATTGTAACAACATTAAAAACATTAACCCTAAACCAACTGAGGGCACTACTCATTACACAGCTTCCGTTTTCTGTTTTCAAATATGCTCAATCCTCTTTTCCTCACCGCTTAAAATTCAAGTGCATAAAACTATTTTGTCTAGTTACAACTGACTGACTACCATACTGGTAAACCTTACAGTATTAGTGCCACTTAAAAAGTTGTGTACATCTGACTACTGCTGATGGAGTAAACACTGTGCCTGTAATAGTAACTGCTACCTCGCACCTCACATGAGGGCCACATACGCACCTCTCATCTATAATGACTAATGTAATTGTTTCTCAGGTTGGACCGATGCCCTTTCTCGAGGGCTTCAGCAGAGAAAAATGTATTCCAACTTACTTATACAAATGTGCAAGAAGGGCTGCCAGTTCTTACAACCTAAAGTCAACCTGCCCAGCCACCTTGCCCTGCCAGGATGCCTGAAGCTCAGTAAGCAGCTCTTAACATCTCCTTCAATGCTCCTCCTGCTGAAGCAAAGGATAATGTGAGCTTCTCAAGTGCATCTGTGTTTTCGTTTTCAATCTTTTACCCTTCCTCCCGCAGCGGACCAAGGAGTGGCTGTGGCTCTGCCTCCTACCACCTACACCAGACCGGCCTGAAGCAAAGGCAAGTTCAGCAGCGGTGTGCAGCCTTCCTCTGACTTGAGTAGCTCCACTGAACAACAGCCCTTCCTTCCCTTACGTGACTAAATACAGCTTTGCTTCACATGGCTGGAGTCGTTCACGCTTCTCAAAGGACCTTGCAACTTCTGGGTTGCTTAGAAGAAACCATCTTCCTCTGCAAAATCCCTTGCAGGTACACCCCTGCATTGGCGGAGGCACACAAGGCATGCTTTAGCTTTACCCTAAGCGAAATCTCCATTTGGGTCACAACAGCCCTGAAATCGGGCCTGTGCTGATCACCACCAGGTCTTTTGCCCTGTCATCCCAGCGGACCTACATCCCCACTAACCATGCAGTCGCTGGCACGTGCAGCAACCAAGCGCAGGTGCCCAGAGCTGCACAGCAGGACTTCTCCTCCTCCCCTCGCCAGGCACACTCAGTCCACCGGGCTGAGAAAATGGTGCTGGGACCACAAATTGCACGTCTGTCTCCACAGACCTTTTTCTGCCTTCATTTCTTCTAACGAGGTCATCCCAAGAGAAAGAGACATTAAAAGGAAATGGGCCAGAAACAGAAACTCCTGCTTGCTCTAATGGAAGTCAAAACCTCCTTCTCCCCTTGTGTATGCCTGGGGGGGAGGGGGCAGGGTATTAAAAAAAATTAGCAAACTTCAAAAGTTAAGTCATTTGGATTCTCAGTATTGAGTTGAGAAACTACTACATAGTAATTGTCTACATACACTTAAAGAAACAATCCTCTCCCTTGACTGTATCTTCATAAGAACCTCTCAGGGTTTGCAGTACATTTTAAAGGAAACAGTCATCAGTTAAGCACCCTAATAAAAACTTGATAATTATCTAAACAACAAAGGACCCCAGATTTCAGTTCGTCCCCAGTACTCTCTGCAAAAGGATTCCAGCCCTTGTTAAAGCAGTTATTCCTGCAGATTCGGTGCATAATGGGAGCTTGCTCCCCGAGGGAAAGTCACTACCTTCACTCAAGACATGCAAACTAAGGCTTATGTCAGCAACATTAAAATGAACCTTCTTTAGAATAAATCCTTTAAAAGAGGCATCCATATCCAGAGGTAAAAGAAGTCACCAGAGAGACAACTCTGAATATTCATATGGCTCATGCCTAAATATAACCAGTGTATGTATGTGCATTTAATAGACCATATATTTACTTATACACACACACACACAAAGTTCACAGAAGTGAAGTCAGGCATTAAAAGCTAGGAAATATCAATGTGAAATTTACTCACACTGGCTCTCCTGTGCACACAATGAAGCAGGGTTTGTATGGAAAATAATTTTATCAAGTAATTGCAAGGTGCTGCATCTGTAGAACTGTTTGGGTTTTTTTAAGATTCTTACCCAATACCCTGCCCCCCTTCGTTGTTTTAAAATTGTTTCATCCCAGAAATCAATTAAAAAAAATCTTTTTCTTGGCCATAAAAAAAAAAAGGCACGTATGGTGACAACCCCCCAAAACTGGGGGGGGGGGGGGGGGGGTGTGGGGAGAAGAGGGTGTGTGTGAGGAGAAAAATGTGAATCACAAAAAAAAAAAGAAGTAAATGCTTTGTCTCTGTACTGTTTGCAATATTTACTGAAAATTCACATTTACGGAAGGGCTAGATTCTCAAAAAGGTGTCTCCTGCAGCTAATGCATTTGGGACACGAAAGACTAAGGGTGCAAAAAAGCAATACTTCAGTAAATTACTTCCTAGAAGGGAGTTAAGAGAAAAATGTGAATCACAAAAAAAAAAAGAAGTAAATGCTTTGTCTCTGTACTGTTTGCAATATTTACTGAAAATTCACATTTACGGAAGGGCTAGATTCTCAAAAAGGTGTCTCCTGCAGCTAATGCATTTGGGACACGAAAGACTAAGGGTGCAAAAAAGCAATACTTCAGTAAATTACTTCCTAGAAGGGAGTTAATCACTAAAGCATAGGTTAGAATGGTGTGTATTATTAACTAGTTTTTCAGGATTTTTCAGAACAGTATTATAAATGAGAGACTGAAAGCACTCAGTATTTTTTAAAGTTTCTTCTTAAAGATCAATGTGCTCAGCACAAATGCTCTCTGACAGAGAGGGAAAATGAACTTGGGTTTCACACATCCTGGAGATAAACCTCAACTAGTGAACAAAAAGAGAGAATATGTTAGAACTAAGTCTCAAAATAGCGTTTGATACAGAAAGGACTACTGGACAAGGCATTTTTAAGTCTATAGTTTACTCAGTAAGGCAAAGACGACATTTTCTCTGATAGGAAGACTGTTTTAACTTAACTGAATAGTATTTTGCTAGAATCTCAAATTATTTCCATAATCTTATTCCAAATTTCAATTCCCTGACACTAGGACACTGAGGTGCTAGGACATTTCAGTAAAATCACTGTGACAGATGCACAGATTAAATGCATTTCCCTAACATTAATCATGCAGAGAATACAGATACCAGCTTTGAAAAGTTTCAACCCACGTAAATGTTTGCAAAAATGTAAGCAACTGGAAACAAGGCTACCAGCTTGGTTCCATCTGTAACGACACTGTACCATCTAAGTCAGATCATAAGCCTCCGGTCTCACCTTCTTGTTCCTTACAGAGCTGCTGTAATTCTGTAATAATAGCTGTATTTCCTGTCACGAGATATAAATACCAACCCCTATTCCAAAACAGGAATTGTGGTTAAATCATCTAAACAACTTTCAAAGTCCTAGCCTCTATTTTAAATTAAGAACAACAGAAGATACTTTTGCCCACCATTTACAAAGTTATCAGTATTTTCACCAACCAGTAAACACCATAGGAAACGTTTAAAAGAATTGCCTTCATCAGGTTTTCCAGACAGGATAGTCTCTGTGATTTGCTCACACAGAACAACAGCAGCACAATATTTGTTTAACAGTTCTCTAAAAGCTGATGCTAGTGCTTACTCACCTTTCTTGGTACCCTCTCCCCAGATTTGAATGCTGTATTTGTTTCCACACATCTAACTATAAAGTATTTAACAAAATAAAAGCCCTGCAGGTCAACACTGAAGTTTATTATACAAGTTCACCTCAAAATTCCTTCTCCAGCAGCACTCCTGTATCCAATTCACTATAACCTATTTCCTTTTCCAGTGGCCCCAATGGGTCCAGATTCCTGTCTCCAGTTTTGGGAAGGTTATCTTAAAATTTATTTTCAATTACCTGTACTTCCACAGGAATGCTATCTGAAAAATGGGTTACATGCAGGAAAATGCTGTACAACACAGCTGCTGCTAAGCAACTAATTCCTTTGCTGCACTGTAAAAGATATAGTTAACCCCCATAATGCTGAATGCAGTTGATCCTGACGCAGTTAGGTGACATCTGATATATATCTGAAGTCATGTAACAGTTGTATGTGGGAATAATGTAACTGTGACTTCCTCTGAAGTGTTCAGCTAAAAATTAAAAAACACAGTAAGTGATGTTTAAAATGGGCTTACTTTAAGAAGTTTAAAGTACTAGTAGAGGTCATACATAAATTCAAGCAAAGAAGCAAAACAAAGATGACAAGGAAGAAACAGGAAGCTTGTAAGGAAACAATATTCTCTTCTACACAGATTTTTTTTTTCAAATGCATAATTTATTTTTAAATTTGTAACTTACAATTATCTTCTACATCCTTTTTGCTGTCCTCTTCTGCAGGAAACACTTGATTGATAGCAGCCTGGAAAGTCTGTTAGATGAAAAATATTAACATTGTCAGAATTCCATAAAAATAGAAATATAGTTCAAAGATGTCTGACGCAACGATACAAGTGAGTGCACTGTAATTGTGCATGGTTTAAAATGAAGTTGCCAGCTTTATACTTCAGCTTTGGAAATTTTACTGAGTTAGTAGATGCAGATAGGAGCTGTTGCATTTACAGTACTACACTACATTACAAAAATGCAGTCACTATAATATATATTTTTATTGCAATAATATTTGATGTTCATTTCCAAAACTGCATGTAATATTGTGTAATATAAAAAATAAGGATTAAAAAAAAGTACTGCAAAAGGAACAGCATTGTAGAGGACACACAACTTCCTCAGTTTTGCAAAGAAGCACAATGAAGAAAAGTCAAGTTATCAGTTCAGTCAAAAGGCTGTGCTGTCATTATCACATGCTGATTTATAACATTCCCACTTCAAAGATAAACGTTCAATACATAATATCCTCTGTATCCCCAAATACTGTAGCTTTGGTTGTTGCTTGTTTTTTTTTCCTTCAATAAATCAATACTGAAGTAAAACAAGACCTTCCTTCAACCCTTGTATTCCAGTTATACAAAACAGCCATTTATCAAGTGTTCAAGTCCAACTGGAAAAATTCATAACAAAAGCAACTTTGTTTCTTCATTCGCCAGAAATCATAAATTTACATTGTTGTAAAAAGGAAGGAAAAACATCCTAGCACAGACGCATTACAGCATCTGTAAAAAAATACCTATTTTAAGAGGTAGGCTTTTAATTATACTTTTTTGTTTACCATAGTAATGGCTTGTTTGAGCTACCTATGAATGAACAAAAACCCTGTTGCACCAATTAAACACGATAGCCACCATGCTGCTGCAGGCAGAGTCTCATTTTCCTCATGGAAATGGAGACAAGAAGTCTAGTCTAATATTTGAAAAGGCAACCAACTGGATCTAAAGAATGACCTTAATAAACAAACATCCTTGCTTGCTTGCTTAACATCGTACTCAGCAAGACAGTCCAATGAGAAACATCTCACATGGAAGTTTAGGAGAAATACAGCAACTTGCTTCATCTTTGCTTCAGTACAACAGACACAATATGTGAGCTCTTGTAGCTTACACCATCATGAACAGCCACAAATTCCAACTCCCTTTGAAGTGCGAAGGGTTAAAAACGTCTCGGAGCAGAACTAATTGCTGCCAGTCAGAAAACAGTAAGTCTACGATATCCCTTCCCTACAAAGTTATCATAAAGTATGCAATTTGTAGTCATAATACATTATATTTTGTCATCCCCTTATCAGGATCTAATGCAGAAAAATATGCACAAGGAACTTTCCTAAGGGAAACAGAGCTGCTTGATGACGTTGGAAAGTCTGAACGCCCATCGGACCAACTTCCTCCAGAATAGCCTTTATCAGAGCTTGGTGGAGCCATGGAGGACCTGAATGTCTTTACCTACCCTCAGAAAGTTGCCAACTGCTATTCAGAGTTTTAGCAGGGTAGAGATTCACCCCCCTTTCCTTCCTCTCACAATACTGCAGTTAGAACATACTATCCTAATAATTTTCTCTGCAAGTTTGTCAACAATAAAGGTATATCTCATTGGGTAAAGATATATTTGAACACAACAGTTTCCCACGAAATCAGTTCACTGTGCATGAAACAGTAGAAAAGTTCAAAAAGAGCATGACTGGCTTCACGAAAATCTAACTTCACTTCTTGTTCTTGTCTGCTGATGTGTAACCCAAGTTTAACCACTAACAAAGACAGATTTTTTTTTTCACAGGAGAGAATGAACACGATGCCCAGCTATTCTGTAAGACTCTTCACAAATCTCTGATATTTTAACATTTCATGGATCTAAAGCCAGCCATACCAGATCTATCCCAGAAGAGGAAGGAAGAACTTTTTCAATGTCCTCACCACTCAGCTTTCTGATCCAAGATAAATTTTAATGAAAAAAACAATGAGAATTCATGCTGTATTATGTCCTCAATTTTTTTCACTCAATGTGAATTATGAATTACTTTCTACAATATTTCAGAAGTGATAAATCAAATAAGCAATATGAAGATGACTTATCTGAAAGCTGATGTTTTTCTGCTGGACTTTTTTAGATCAGAACATGAAGCCTAGCTTCAACTACGTCAACAAAGAATTTCACTCCTGTATGACACAGTTGGACTACTGCTTTATGTAAGGTGATTACTTGTTTTGTAGGTAAGTACATTAGCTAGATGTGCAAAGCTCAGTATTGCCAATTACTATTAAAATCTAATATATTAAATAGGAAAATGGGCAAGGTATCCCAGGTCTATCAATAAAAAAAACCAACACCCAAAGAAATTCTTTACTACACTGTTGTTTTTTTTTTAAACATTTATTGTAAGGAGAAAACACTTCAGACATTTGGTGGAAGACTTTTGCATTAAGATATAGCTTAGGACAAACTTGTTCTAAGAAAATGGAGAGCATATGAATCTTATGAGACACTAAAGTGGCCTCAGGAGGCAAAACAGAAGGTTTAGGTTTTTTGGTAGGGTTTTTTTCCCCCGCTGCTCTTTGTAATGAAGCAGCCCTTGAAATCCAATGGCAATCTTAACTATTCTCCCAGAAACTAGATGAGTGAAAAAAGATACCTTTCCATTCAAGCAGGATCTTCTTTCTACCATGTAATCTAATATGTGTAACCATGCCTTCCTTTATGCCTTCCAGATACAGACAGGAGACATCCCTACTCTCAGCTGTATTTCACAAACCAACCTAAAGCAGTACAAACGGTGTGTAAGACAGACAAGAACATGCCTCATTTGAGCAAGCAAGCTGCACTCACTGCTAAAAAAAAACCCTTAGCTTGAAACACTGAACTTCGGACATTCTGATCCTTACTTTCAACGTACATTTATTCATTTATACTTAGCCGAGGAAAATACCTTTCTGGTTATTCACAGGATACCAGAGCAGATGCCCCATAAAGCCCTCCATGACCCTTCAGAACTGGTGCAGAGCCGTAAGGTGCCTCTCAGTTGACGGCAGGAGGGGTGTCAGCAAGTGCCTGCAGCACCACACACCCTCCCAACAACTGCCAGAAACCCACTACTGCTGACGCTCTAGGAAACGCCTGCCCCCTACTCCTCAGTGCCACGAGGATCCCAGGATGGCATCTCAGGGTGCAAGTCCCTCCGAGGCATCTCTTCCTAACTTAGATCTGCTACCTCCAGGAAAAGAGTAAATTCCCCGTTTGGCAATTTCGCTGTCATCTGCCTTCTCCCTGTTACAGCACCAAGCAACACAACAAAGTAGGATATATGCAACCGGATCTGAGATGAGGATTCCCAGTAGGTTCAGAAAAGTACACTCCAAGCAGAAGCAAATGCAGTGCTAGTCGAGTTTAACAACTGGCTGCCTTTCTACCCGCCTCCTTCCTTGTACACTGGCATGCGACTGCTGGTGGGACACAGGCCAGGGCTCCCAGCCCCAGCCCCCCGCTCGGGTTTGGAGCCCATCCTTGGGGCAGCGCTCCAGCCCTAGGTGGGACCGCGCTCATTAGCAAACCCCTCTCCAGTTTCTCTGCTTCCTTTCCAGTCGTGGCATTTATCAAGCCCTGCAAGCCGATGATCTAGTTTTCGGGGAGTAACTCCCATCGTGTAACACATGCACCCTCTGTTCTGATAACAGGCTCCTGCAGCTTGGATTACTCTTCCTCATACAAGGCAAGCTAGGTGACTCAGATCCCCCCCTCTCTTCAGACACCCAGCCGCCGCACAGAAATGTGAATGCTGCTGTTAACTCTGTATGAGCTGCGGTACCCGAAACTGCTATTGCTGGTTTATAAGTAAATCGGTGTGTTAACCAACTACCTTCACCCAGTCTGGACTGGATAACTTGGTTTCGTAATACAAAGCAATCTACGGCCACACGGGCCTCAGGTCCTCCTCCTCCTACCACTGCTTGCTGCCGTCCCGAAAACTTTCCACTCCTTCATTTTTAAGGTGGATCTGTTCCCTGACCTCATTTGCTGTGTCATGCACAGCTCTGCCAGCAGAGCCGAGAGGGTGCCACTCTGCAATGCCAGAGCTAGTTACGGGTGGGGAAGGGAGGGAAGATTTTAAGACATCGTGAAACTGCTGCCTTGCAGCATTTACTGCAGTTATTAACAACATATTTGAATTAACCATTAGGTGGTCTAAAAGGCAATAATCAAACATATGCATACACATTTCCTTTTCAGCCTGTGATCTCTGGTAAGCTACCAGCACCTACAGAGAATACGTATGACATGTTAATGACCCAGATTAAAAAATAATAATAAGTTACACTGCCCGGATACATTTACAAGATCAGGTTACTCCTCTCCTCCCTGTAATTATCATGGGCAACTCTGGAGCTGCTGGATCACTCCTTCTTACCGAAGAGCACTTTTGAACTATCATTTTAAGTAAACAAAATTGATAATAATGGGTATTAATGCTGACTACTTCAAATTAATGTTCTAAGCGCACAAGAACAGAGTCTTCTTAAAAAGACAAAAAGCAGTGAGAAACATTTCACTCTAAAAAGAAATCAATGACACCTTGAAAAGACTGAGAAGGTAATCAAGAAAATGTTTTACTCCACCTCTATTAATATAAGGAGGTTTGATAATTAGAAATATAGGACCATAATCTCTAGGGTATTTAAACTGTGAAGTGTTTGTTCCCTTAGATGAATGAGGCACTTAATTGATCTGCTTAATTCAAGAAAACAGCCAACAGCAGAATAACAAACTTTCTAGACAAAAGAGACTGTTTGTTGCGAACCATGAAGCAAAATATTTGTATTTTAGGATCATTTTTTGGTTTCACACCAAAAAAAAAAATTATATATGCTCCCTGAAAGGAGCGTATGTTAGAAATGAATAGTCACTCAGGAATTTCCTTATTGCCTGTTTCTGTTTCAGTATACAGACTTTTGCTCTTTATCACATCAGAACCATTTGGGGATATAAACAGAAATAGTGGTGGGGGTCAAAATCTTTTAAGTCAGTTAAAGACTACTTAGTCATAGTTTTGGAATAGTTAATATTCTCGTCTGAATAATTTTCTCTTCCCCAAACTGAAGAATGTATACTACTACTAAACCTACAGACTCTCTCACACACAAAAATCAGACGTTACATTTGCTTTATATTTCTAAGGAAAGCAAAATCAACTTCCTCTCCAAGATGTAGAAAAAAGAAAGCCTATAAACATTCCCCCCAAAAGGAAGGACTGCTGCATAACCTTTTGACCTGTGACAAGGCAGTCTCTATTATTGTTGACATGAAAAAAGAAGTTACAAGAAAATGTTGTCTTTTCCATACTTGAAGATACAGAAAGGACAAAATTGTTAGGAAGGGCACATATCACATATTCAAAAAGACCAAAATCACAACTTTTAAAACAGCGTCTGATCTTATTCCAGCTAGTAAAAACCAGGATGCTGACCATCTGAATTAGGATAATTGATAGATACAAGGTACTTCCTGTAAAAACTGACATTTAATTACAACATACTGCATCTGAAAGATGTCGTCATAAATGAAGCAGTTGGAACACACTAATTAGGATGAATTAGGACTTCATTTTAAAAGTTACATTTATTTTGCCTTTAATTTGATATAGCAATTCCATAGGACCTTTGTTTGACATCGTGTTACTTCTCAAGCTACTTGAGGTAAGAGGATTCATCTCTCAGCCTTCACCAGTCTAACAGTGAGGTGTCTAATCTAAGCCAGCGTCTAGGACACCCCTGTAGGACACTCTCCCCATGCATTTAAGGGAAAAGAGAGAAGCTAATCTCAACAGCAGACTCTTAACCAGTCTCTAATTTAGAAAAATAAAGTACACAGTACTGAATCAAATGGCTACAGAGATTCAATCCTTCTGTCTTTCATGAGCAGGTACACACATGCAGATAACTGACAGATAGCAAGCACTTCTTATCTGCGGGATATTTCATTTGCAATGCACGCTAAAGCTAAACAAAGATCTTTAGCCAGAGAAAAATGATTTCCCACTCTTTCAGGTGTGTAATGGTAGATATTGGTAAAGATTTGGCCTACAGGTAAAATAGTTCTTGTAAGGTTTTCCTCCATTCCATTGCTTGTGAGACACTTACCTTGCCTTTCTGATTCAAAGGTTCAATAGTTAAGTTGTCAGTGCCAATGTCCACAATCATCCCCATCTGAAACCCATCAGTTGGGTGTGGAGCCCAAACGGGCTTCCCATCCTCCATTGTGGGATCTATCCAGTATTTCCTGTAAGAAAAACAAAATAAACAAAAAAGTTTGTATACAAATTTAGTAAACTATCAGGATTCACTATATAGACTTTAGTTTATGATGTTTATTCCTGTTATTCCGTGTGGAAGTAGCCAGCCTGTCAGGACAAGATTCTTCTAGCCTTTTTCCAACCTGTGACACTTTGCTTACAGAGGACCCCCTCAGACCTGGGTATGGAGAAGATTCAAGAACAGATCAATTTGGGGGGGGGGGCACAGACTAATCCCCGCAGCTCTTTTCCCAATTTCCCTAACTTGTGAACCAAAAAGGGGGTCTATCTCACGATCAAAATAGAAGTACAAGACATTCAAAGCTAAGACTGTACTAGGAGTGTGTATATACATACGTATATGTGTGTATACATGTGTATGCACACACACATATATATATGCACACAGTGAATTTCTGTAACAGGCACATGTCGAGACGTGTGAGCAGAAACACAGCCTCTTGTCATTTCAGACAAATGAACATGCCCACTCTTCACGTGGCTGGGCATATGGCTTTTAAATAACCCACAAATGTATTTGGTCACAACTGATTCATCGTATTACAAGCTTTTGAGAGACTGACCTCCGATACTATGACATTACAACTCTGCCTCTTACAGAACACCAACCTCACTCGCTATAAAAATATGGTGTGAAAATCATTTTAGAGGAATCTACAGTCCACAAGTGAAATAGATGCAAAGGCCAAGACATTCAAACCTTAGGCTCCTCAAGTTATGCAGCTAAATAAGCTCCCAATTAAAAGAAGTATTTGATTGCACGCAGTGCTCATTGAACTAACCAGGAAAGTAGCCAGGATTGGCACACTCTGAATGGCTAACGGTGCCATTTTAAATATACTGAATTAGTCCTTTTTTTTTTTTTTTTTTTTTTAAATCCACTTTATAGTCCTTACCCTAATAAGAATAGGGAGCCCACACAGCTTGAAAGGCTCACTTCTCCTGGCCATTTTTTACTCCCCTCCAAAACTCATTCACATACTAAACTGACATGTTTTAGTGATTCCAAAATTTGTAAAAAGTATCTCATATCACCAAGGTGTAACTTGCCTCTCTCAGCATGAACGAAATGAGCCTGCCAAGCAGCAAAGAAAACACTGGCAGCAAAATCCAAGAGTCTGTAAGCTAGGAAACATGTCCCACATTTTTCTTTTCCCACATCTGAAGGAAAAAGAAGCTCCAAAATGTCTTACAACCGGGAAAGGCTGCAGACCCTTTTGCCGTGAGCAGCAGTAAGCAAAGAGAGTCATCGGCCCACCAGAAAGTTGTACAACCACGAGGCAGAAAAGGACACTCTTGTCCCACAGAGGATCTGTCAGGACATGCTGCACATGACCTGCTTTTTGCTGCCTCCAGGGACTTTACGAAAGGTCTGAAGAGAAGGAAAAGGCTTGCTGTGACCGCTTTGAGAATGCTGTTGGTCTTAACATCTTACTTGTCAAGGAATAAGACAATTTGCTGTTAACTTTAATATGAAATGATAGGAGATACAAAGTAATTCTAAAGCAAAGACTCAGAATGCAAAGTCAAATATTTTTTAAATGAACTAATGTTCTGAAGAGATGGAAAAAAGTAGCTATAGGGTTCTTAATTTAGTGTTGATACCTGGTTTTGTGTTTAGATTTACTCAGATTTTTTTCTCCCTGAATGCAGTTCAGGATGTAAGAAGCTCACTCAGATTTTAACAAATGTTTCTAGTGTATTCTACTCACACAATTCATGCCATTTAAAATGTTGTATTTAATACAGGAAAACATGCAGTTTACTTTTCCCCCCACGAATGGAGCATATTAAAACTTTCTGTGAGTTGTTGAAAGAAGTATGTTCTAAAACCTCGAGTGTCACATTCACTTCTATTTACTTCAAACCTTTTGCCACATCCCATGAACTCTACAAAAGAAGATCATATGCACCATGTGTTGCCAGCATTGTACAATAAATCCTGTAAAACAACATCTGTACTCACTCACAATTGGCTGTTGGACATTTTTTCTTTAGTTTAGGATACCGTAAATTAGATCTAGTATACAACACAGTTTTATGTTGGTTTTTTGGTTTTTTTTCTTTTTTAGCCAGATCTGACTTCTGAGTTCAACTGCCATCGTGGGCATAGTTGTTAAACAGCTGAGTTTATTTCTGGATATAACCAGGTCTTCATTTCTTCACAAGCCTATCATTTGCTTTTAAAATGCTAGTTCAAATTAGTACTTAAGTGGTATGTCACGCAACCACTAAAAACAAGGCTCTCTTTTACATTCAGAGTAGCATGGCCAGGGCTCCAGACGTAACCATGTCACACAAGAAACAAACCCTGAAATTACTGCCAAAATTTCTGCCAAAAGTTAGAATCCGACCTCCCCAATTAGCATCCAGAGGCTTCTGCTTTGCTCACCGACATGAGCTTTTGCATTCTTACATATTCTTAAGCCTACTTCATGCTTCATTAATAAATTATGATGGGGGAGCATCAGGAGCTAAAAAAATCCTCTTGAAGAACAGAGCGGTGATTGAATTCAGCCACCACCAAGAAATGTATGTTTAAGAAAAATACCTGAGGCTTTGCAAGCATCTAAGAAGCCATTGGGTGAAAGCATCTAAATAAGAGTGTAGTAGTTATTCACGGGACAATTACTTTTAATAAATACAGTCTTCTGCATGAGAAGAGATACAAAGCCAGTTGTAACATTTTGGTTTTGGCACCACTCCATCTCTGTCAGCTGGGACTCTGACAGGCAGTACATTAAAATTGGATAACGAAACCTATCGGGTCATACCTGCGCTATTATCTACCCCTCCAGCTGATGTATACGCCATTGCCCTTGAGACAGATGCATGAAGTCTATTCCTGAACCAGCTCTTGAATAGCCAGTTTCCAGCCCAGCATTTTAAGGTGAACAGAAACAAAAAAACTTTGAAGTTCAACTACCTGATATAAGTCCTTTAGAAAAAGAAAACAGCACTTTTTTAAAAACATGAAACTATGCTTTACTGATTAAAACATACATATCACAGAGTACAAACTGGGAAAAACATAGATTTGTATGGAGAACCTTCAAATCATGTTCTCCCCATAAAAATACAGCCCCAGTCTGGTTGCAGACCATTCATTAATAGTTATCAGCAGCGACAGACTTTTTTTTTTCCACCATGTGCATCCATCTAAATCCAATCTATATGCAGCCAACTTCACTACACTGTTGAAAGAGCACACCGTTTCTGAAAACTATGAAAGCAGAGCGACTCATATCCAGGTTAAAAGCACTAAGGCAACGAATTTGAGAGCAGCACCAACAAACACAAGGAGTCACTTGAATGGTGCTTCTAAACAAAGGAGGCCAAAATGAGCCATCTTCCACATTTGTATTTGTATATAAGTACTCAACATATATTAAAGATTGAAGTAGTTGATTATAAGTTGCTAGGTCATTTTGGTCTCCACAATTAAGACTTATTCCAACACGAAGGAGAGAATTCACAAAGGTTACGCTTATAACTGGGAAGCTAGCCGCCCTTTTCTCTTTCTACAGTCAGTAGAAAAAGAGACCAGGAACCCCATAATGGAGTTTGTCTCTCTGCTGAGCAGGAGAGGGACAGTAATAAAATAAGCCTGAAGCTGGTAAATTTAATAGCTATTCCTTCAAATGTCAGATTTTATATTTTCATAATTGGCAAGCAGTAATAGACCTTGCCTTAATTATCAGTAATAGTATTCAACACATTCAGCACTGGCTAAACACTAGTAGCCAGCAGTTCAAACAACTTGCAAGACAAAACTATACTGCACTCCACAGATTACAACAGCAAGAAGAACACCCGCCAACTCTTCTTTAACTTTTTTTTGCACTATTATTCCCTCTTTTGGAGAATGTTTAATGATATTGTTTCTCAGAAAAATTATCTACATAACACATTGAGTATATGAAAAAACTAAAAACTCCTCAGTCAAAAGTTGGTATGTTATCCTCCCACTTACCTTTACTTAAATATTACTGATTTTAAAAGAATGTAATACAACTACATTTCGGTTTTGTAGGGTATTCAAAAGGAAAGCAAACAGTACCATCAGGTGAAAGAATTCTAGGAAGGCAAAACATAGTAATGCAATTTTAAACTTGTTACCAGAGGCAGGCATTAGGCATCTGCATGATCTGATTCTGTTTACTAGCCTTTGAACAGTTTCCTATACTAAGGCACTGTACTGATTGCTGAATTAACTAAATTAAAACAAATGAAAAATTAAACTTCATTAAACAACTGATGGTATCTCATTAGGTTGGCTAAATCCAAAGAAAATAAACTAGTCATAATAGGTATAGTAGCAAACTATCACAGTAAAAGTAGAATTACATAGGTTATTTTATATTAAAAAAAGCCTACTGCTTGTGTGTTTAAGAGCTGCTCAAAATTCTGCAGGTTACACTGGACCCATGAGAATGCTTTGGGAAAGGTCCTGTGAACACACAAGACAGACCAGATAGAGGAAAACACTGATACATAGTGGTAGCTTACCATCAGTCAAGTTATATTTTTTCAACTGTAGTTCACTGTTTAACTGAAACTTCAACAAATCAAAGCTTAGGCAGCATTCAGCACTCTACTGCAGGTGACATATTTCAAAGGAACTGCAGATATAGTAGAAAGATTTTTTTTTTTTTGAGCTAAATGCAATACAGTTATAACTGCATTGTTTAACTGAATATTAAACCCATTCAATTTTTATTTCTTGTGTACTTTTTCAATTCACTATAAAACTTCTCTGGACTAACACACTCTAGTTTAGCCATACCAAACTGCAGTTTTTTCATATCTACTTACGATGATATCAGCAAGGTAACTGTGTCAAGCAGAGACTTCTGCCAACCCAGAAGAAAACAGGCTAGAATACAGCACAGCACAAAGGTATCTTCAAAAACAATTTGCCTTGAAAATGTTAATGCTGACATG